GAAATTTGCAGCAGGGTCACCCAAAAAGATTCATGAAGAGTGCCCACTGAAGCACAAGTAAGCCGAAACTTGCACTGACCAACAGCCATCAGGAGGAAGAAATCTTCCGAAGAGGGAGTGGATAGTGGAGGAAGTCAATGAACAACCAAACTTCTGGGAGACAAGAGCCGATGTGATCATAGTTGGAATTCCATCTCAGATTGGGATCAGTCTACCATTGAACAACTCTGATCACAATGTCGGTTTTAGTTCTTTCAGGCCGCACCAGTGCTAGCTTCAGGTACTTGCTCCTCGCCTGATTTTTTTTTAGATAATGGAACAAACTTCCAGCCTCTACCATCCACAGATCATACACAAGTGATTGTCAGAATACAAACCAAAGCCATAAGGCTCACACAATCACGAAAAAAAACAAAGTGTTCAGCCCAACAAGTGAGTGCAGCAAACAAGGAACAAAACTAATCCGCGATTCAATTCCTGACACTGCATCCAAACTTCACAAAAACTTCCATTATTAAGGTCTCCCAGCTCCTGCAGCCCAGCTTGAATGGTGGACGCTCCTTCTCTCTATGCAGCATGGACCACTACCTGATGCAACAGCTCTGCTATCTCTACCCACTCACTACTCTCTTGATGCATCCCAGGCCCATAGGATCCTATTGTTGTTGCCAGCATGATCAACTAATTTGATTTTTGTTACAAAAAACCTAATTTAATTTTGTAGACAGCTTTTTCATAACCAAGTCTTCACTATGATAGACATCACGAATGCTCTATGTTGGGAGATGGAGCCGTGAGCCGGTGACTATAAATATCATGTGTAGTAGCTTGTGAAGTACAGCAGACGTACGTGGCTTTATTGCACATAACTATTGGCTCCCGCATACTGAGCAGTGCACAGTAGCGTACTGGTCATTGCAACACACTATCATTACCAGAGAAGATCCATTAGCGATACTTGTAATCGAGGGCCATAATAAAGAAATTGATGCAATTTTACTCTCTTTCTTGCATTGAAACCGTCATATTTCCAACAAAATAGAGTCTACCACAGACAACTAAATTTCTATAATTTATTTAGAGAATGTAATTTCGCGTCAATTTAAAATTGCATGAATGGCTTCCCAAAAAAATGTGGATTTTGTATAACCCGTGGCCATCCCCAGCATCCGATAGATCAAATAAGGAGACACGTGTCACGAGATTTTTTTGAAACATCAGCAGGGGAGGTCCCTACCTAAATTTTTGTGTATATATATATATATATATATATATATATATATATATATATATATAAAGGGGTAATATTTACAGCTACAGAACTTATAAAGCTCAGATGAAAAAAAAAGGAAAATGCTGTAAGCAAAAATCTCTCCCCACAGGTCTAGACCTACTTTCAGATTTCGTACGCTCCGTTTTGATGCACGCATTTGTGCAAGAAAAATCCACATATTTCCACTACAGTCTCGTTATGCACTGCTCGTTGATTCGTCCCCTTTCCCACCATCTTTCTGAATTCAGTAGCACCCTATAGTTGGTGCTGAATTTCTCGGACTATCTGAGGTACTCGCAACTATAGAATCCACATAGTAGTGTCCCTGGAGGTTGTTTGACGTGCTACACGATATAATACACAATCGATTAAAACATATTGATTAATTAATTAGCCAAGTGATGAAGGCTAGTTTCTCTGGAGAGGAAGCTGGACCATATATATTTGAAAGGTGGAAAGCTCTACCATCAGCGTTGTTTTGGAGCTTGAGGGTTATGGCATAGGCATTGACCTGAATGACGGTTGAAGTGAACATGTTGCTATTCCTGATGGTAATCAGCCCACCAAAAGCCCCAACAGAAGGGGAAAACACAATGTAGTCTAGTTGTCTAGGACAAAATTTCTTCAGATAAAGATAATCAACAGCACTTCTCTTTGTTTCCTGCAGACAAATATTTGATAGGCACTTTCAGTAATTTTTACCTGAATGACATGTCATTTCTCCTGCTTGTTGATGCCTCTGATGTTCCACACTAGGATCTTAGTTGTTCTATTGTGACTCAATTGTAAAACTCTAGGAAAGTACACTCTGGGATGATATGCTAGATACCAGCCACACTGAAGAAAGGTTCTCATCAACAAAAAAGAGAATGAAGCAGGAATCAGCAAAAAACAAGAGATAACCAAAGCGCTGCAGATAACTGGACGAGATTAAACTGTCAATACATCGACCGGACCAAGAGAGGTCGAGGTTCAAATTATTTTGCCAGCGTGCAGGCTGCACTTGTATAGCAACCAAGTCATGAAAAGCATAAACAAAAGAGGCACTCTCTCTAGAGAAAGTGCAGAGAGACATGGGTAATTATGTTTTGGCGTCATTTGCGCCCTTCTTCATGATGACAGCACACACAATCTTAGGCTGTATCTAGAGAAAGAACTTGGTGTGATGCCTTGCACAATCTCTGCCCACTACTACAGAAAGTATTTGTAGCAACACCTTTTTTTAGGGGTGGCACAACAAAAGGTTGTAGATCTTGGAAAGTTATAGAACTTTGTAGTAGACAACTTTTTCATTTGAAATTATTTTGTCAAGGAAAACTTCGTTTGAATTTTTAAAATTTCAAATTTCAATTTTTTAAATGACCTCGGATGGAGAAACATCCTAAACGAAAGCTGTAGATCTCGAAAAGTTATAGAACTTTGTAGTTGACAACTTTTTCATTTGAAATCATTTTGTCAAGGAAAAGTACATTTGAATTTCTCAAATTTGAAATTCAAATTTTTCAAACGACCTCAGATGGACAACAACAAAAATAAAAGTTATAGATCTCGAAAAGTAATACAACTTTGTAGTTGACAACTTTTCATTTGAAATCGTTTAGGGTCTCAAACACTCAATTTAAACTCGGTTGAGGATAATATGAGTAGAAAGAAAATCTATTATAGACATAAGTTAGTGTAAGGTGTAGTGGTTATAGGAGGTGGAGGCTGCGGGTTTGAATCTTGCTGGCCATGTTTGAGAAAAAAAATTGTTATTTTTTTACCCAATTTCGTGATTTCTGGAAAACGGGCATCCGCCCCTACAAATTTGTAGGGGCAGCTGGCCAACCGCCCATACAATCGACGGTTTGGTAGCACTGTATTAGTTGTTGGCTTGTTACTCTCTTGGCGTGACTAAGCATGGGTACGATGGAAAATACCTATGCATATCATTGATGCCAATGAACTTGTACAGATGGGTGTTAGAAGAAAGAAATCAAAGATGCTTTTGCACCTAACTTGCCGGATTAAAAAAAACGCTGCGGAGTGGGTGGGTGGCTGACCGGTTGGGGTCTCCTCAGATTAAAAAAAATATTTTTTTTTGCTATTTTTTGGTTCTAGATTCATGATTTTTGAAAAATGATTTGTAGAGACGACTCTATATCCAGCTGCCACAACCACCTCTATAAATCCGCGACTTGTAACGGACGGCTAGTGAAACCGACCCTACAAATCACCGAGAACCGCCCCCAACAAAAGCTTTACGTAGCAGTGGGCCTTAGAGGAGGAGCTGAGGCAGGTACTGCCTGCCGGAGTGATGGCGAGGGGTTGGGCTTCGATTGCTGCCTCTTTGCTTGCCACGTCCTGGAAGCTGGGTTGCACGGCGTGGCTCCTCACGCCATAGGGTCCAATTTTTATTGCCAGCATGATCAACTAATTTAATTTGGTACACACTGATCTGTTTCAATTTTTTTTATGAATTCATAACCAAAGTCTTCACTATGTTCCCCATCATGAATGCTCGGCCATGAGCCAGTGACTATATATCATATAGTTGTTGCATTTGAAGGACAAGAGACGTGCTTTTATTGTACACAACTATTGGCTCCCCTTTACTGTAAGCACAACACGTACAGTGCCTACTAACCGTCGCAACACACCATCATTAGAATATAATATCCATCTTACAGAAGGACCACGACTGACCAATTTTAAAGTGGGCAAGTCATATCACGGAGACAGTGCAGCAATGGAGATCTTCACCAAATAATGGGTGGCCATTTTCGAATAAGCTTACTGTGCATAGTTTTTTTTTATTTCTTCCGAGCTTTTTGAGAGCTTGTTCTTTCTTAGATTTTTGCTTCATTTTAAACTTTGATTGAGTGCGTAACTTTTGCAGATATCGGAATGAAGCTTCCGTTTTTCTAAAAATTTTATTTTATTTTATTTATTGTAGCCATATATATGTAAATAATTAAGGGCAACAGAGAAACAAAGAAACCGAGGCAACATTAGTCTCTTGCTTGCACCGGAACCATCACATTTCCAACAAAATAGAGTCTTACCACATATAACTCATTTTCTCTCCAATTTATTAAGAGAATGTAATTTTGTATCTATTTGAATTTGTATGCATGGTTTTCCTAAACATCTGAATGTGTAGAACCCGTTGCCATCCCTTTAATTAATTAGAGGATGCAAGCGACGGTATATACCCACGCTCCACCGATTTTCTTTCCTAGCACTAAAACCAGTACTTGACAAATGGTTTTCCGATATTATATATATATCCCTGTGTCTGTACCAGTGTGTTTCTTCGCACTATGATTTCTTCACATCCGCGACATATGTTTGACGGAGAGCTCCACATTATTGTACGGACAGATTTAGCTAGTATCCCGGATCTGTTCATGTTGTTTCACATACCGAATTTGTCAACATTCTCGATCAGTAACATCTGTGCTAGGCATAGTTTGCGATATCACAAATTACTAATTTCCATGACAATTTTGCTTAGCATAGTGATGGGATGCGATAACTTTTTTCTTTTTAGGAATTAATTGGATGCGATAATGTTGCCGGCCTCTAGTTTGTCTTGGGTCAATTAGCTGATGACTGATGTTGAGCTTAGATAGCAATTTTATCATTTTGTTGACTGGTGAATTTTCTCAGCCACAAACGTCCGATTATGTAGCTCACCACTGCGATTTTGGTGGCTCTAGACTTGGACTGCTACCAGATCGAGCAAATGGAAGGCTCCACCGGCGGTTTCCGTGTCGTGTCCAGACGTGCGGTCCGGCCAGAGCCGGCAAGCTCGCCGGACGTCGTGCCGTCGGAGGCGCCCCGGATCATGCAGCTGACGCCGTGGGATCTCCAGTACATTTCGGTGCACTACATCCAGATGGGTGTCCTTCTGCCCAAGAAGATCCAGGCAACAGCAGGAAGCAGCGCACTCGCCGACGAACTCGCCTCGTCGTTCGCGCGTGCCCTGGGCCGCTTCTACCCTCTGGCCGGCCGCTTCGTCGTCACGGAGATGTCCGGTGCGTGTCTCACCGTGTCGCTTTGCAGCAACAACGACGGGGCCGAGTTCGTACACGCGGTGGCGCCAGAGGTTTCTGTGAGCGACGTCACCACCCCGCGCTACTTCCCGCCGGTTCTGCGGTCCTTCTTCCCGTGGAACGGGATGCTGTGTGGCGACGCGATGCTGGAGCCCCGCCCTGTCGTGGCCGCACAGGTCGCCGAGCTCGCCGACGGCATGTTCGTCGCCTTGTCGCTCAACCACGCCGCCGCCGACGGCACCACGTTCTGGCACCTGTTCAACACCTGGTCAGAGATCCACCGCAGCGGTGGCCACGGCTGCGAGCTGTCCGCGCCGCCGCCGGTGCTCGGCAGATGGTTCCCCGACACATGCCCCGTACCGGTCACTCTGCCCTTCAGGAACATGGAGGACATCGTCCGGCGCGTCGAGGTCCCGCCAGTACGCGAGTGCTTCTTCCATCTCTCCGCGGCGAGCGTAAGGAACCTCAAGGCAAAGGCAAACGCCGAGATGAACGTGACGGCGGTGCAGCCGCAAGCCGCCACCATCTCCTCGCTGCAGGCCGTGCTTGCGCACCTCTGGCGCGGCGCGTGCCGAGCCCGGCGCCTGCCGCCGGACCGGGAGACGACCTGCCGGCAGCCCGTGGGATGCCGAGGGAGGGTGCACGGCGTGCCGCAGCACTACATGGGCAGCGCCGTGGCGCGTGGCGTGGCCAAGTGCACCGTCGCCCATGTCCTGCGGGACAAAGGGCTGGGCTGTGCGGCGTGGCTGCTCACCCAGGCCGTGGCGTCCTTCGACGAGGCCAAGACGAGGGACGCGCTCGCGTCCTGGCATCAGAAGCCACACATCCTGTACCCGGAGGCGTCCGGCGACGGCGATCCTGCAGATATCGTGGTTGCGTCCTCGACGCGGTTCGACGTCTATGGCAACGACTTCGGGTGGGGCACGCCGATCGCCGTTCGGAGTGGCGCCGGGAACAAGATGGACGGCTTGGTGACCGTGTACCCGGGGCGTGATGGTGGTGGGAGCATGGGGGTGGAGGTGTGCATGTCTCCGGAAGCGCTCGCCAGGTTGACTGTGGACAGGGAATTCATGGAGGTAGTGGACATGGCGTGAGAATGGTTTGGTTGCTTGTTTTTTAATTTCTCTGTTCTGTTCTGGTCAACTGCTAGTATGAACATGTGTGGCTGTATGCATATCAGTCAAAATCACTCCACATTAACTATCAAGAATCACTCCAAATAAGGATGTCAAAGACTGGGTTGGAGTTGAATAGACTCGTTATGTAAATCTAAAAATACTTGGTGTCGAACCAATAAAGAATTCAGTAACACCTCAGTTTGCTTTACAGGAAACTGGTAATCAGAAACAACTGATTAACATTGCCATCAGTTATCATTCAGAGGATGTTTGGTTTGGTCTGAAAAATGGATGGTCCGTCATCTTTTTAATTTGACTCCTTGCTTCAGCCCTCACAAGCTAATAATCCATGTAGGTATGAGGAATATTATTCAACCAAAATTCATGGGATGAACAATTGCCTAATATAGAACGAATAAGGTGATTTCTTTAACCAAACATCTTATTAATTTATTTTGATGTGACACAAAGCCACGTCTAAACCGTGAAAGCAAACACTGGGATGAAACTACAAGCTGATTTTTCACCATTGGAATGCCACCAAACAATCTTGAAAGTTTTTTCTTTTAAAAAAAAGACGAAAATAAAAAAAACCAGATCAACACAACTTCGTAGTCCAATGACCTTTAATTTGTCGTTGCTTCTATTTTTTGTTCGAAAACACAGGAGAGCTGCGCTTCTTTGCATTATAGAGAGAGCAAAAAAGATCCCCATACATCAACCCCACTCATTCGGGGATCAGGGAGGGGTTTACATCACACTGGCACTAGTCTAAATGAAAAAGAAAAACAGCATGACCAGCCAAGACGAAAGCTAACTCAGATTGTGCCGCTAAGACCAGGTTCTGCAGCTTCTTGGCCCCAGCGAAGCACCAAAGGCTGTGCTCATCATTCAGCTCACGCAGTATTGAGTTAACTGAAGGAGAGGCACCCTTGAACACACAAGCATTCCTATGCTTCCAAATAACCCAAGCACCCAACATGATCAGATAATTCACTCCTTTTTTGTGCTCCTTCAATACTCTTCTAATTGTTTTACGCCACCAATCGTAGCTGCTTCTGTTGAAAGCATTACGAGTTACGCTGGGGATGTGAGCACCAGTGCAAGTTTTAAGGCTAAACGAAAACAAAACTTTGTTTTCCTGAGTAGCCAGCAATACCACAACAGCAGCTGGCCTTGGTTTTTTGAGTCGACATGGTTTGCTGGTCATCCAGAATAAGATGAAATCATAAACCGCACCTGATAAAGCAATTGCAGTCGCCTTCTGTTAGTGCGGCATCGTCGAGGGCCTCTTCGCAGTCGTCCAAAGGCGGTGGCGTCGACAGCATTGCTGTCGGACGAGGAGGGGGCGTTCCGGCGGCGTCTGAGGGTCGGATTGGCGTCATGGCGTCCGGCCGACGAGTGCCTGGCATGCGGTGGCGGTGGCGGGGCGTTGTGGTGTCCGGCATCTTCTGCGGGGTGGCGTGGATTTGCGAGAGTGCACCATGGTAAGGACAGGAGGGGCACGTTGATGTTGGCGTGGTGTCGATCGACGATCCGGTTTACGTGGAGATGAAAGATATCTGACCGAGCGAGAGAGGGGCACCGCATGATTGTTTCCTTCCATGCATGATTATTGTTTCCTTCCATGCATGTGGCCTCAGGTGATCAATTTGTTTCCTTCAAAGCGGGCGGGGATCGCAGGGATGGCAGTTTCTTTTTCTATCGCGCGGGGTATCGTAAGGCCGGAAGGGAGGAGCGACCCCAAAAAAAAGTCGCACCAAAAAGTTGTCTTACTTTTGTTCTGTTTAGTTGTAGGAGATATTGTATTTTTTGACCTATAAGTTTGTAAATGGTTGAAATCATGGTGTACATCAACTCATTATTATATGAATAAATAAATGTCTATTTGTATGATTGGTGTATCTTGTGATGAATGTTATTACACTAATTATGTGCTAAACACGTGGCAACTGGTTGTGATGAATGTTATTACACTAATTATGACAGTTATTATCTGTCACAAACATTGGGCTAAGTGGGCCTTGGGCTCATCTATGACAATCTAAAACCATCATGGATTGAGCTAATCTGTGACGGTTTTCAAACAAAGCATGATGAAATGTAGGATCTCTGGTTGGCCTAGGGAGTGAATAGGCCTGTCAAAACAAACACTCAAATTTTTATCAAATTCACCCTATGGCACTGCTGCTCTGGAGGGCGGCACTGTCGGACTGCGACACTACCAGGCCAGAACAGCGGCACTGCCGCACCTGTAGACAACTTCAAGTCACAGTTCAAAATCCATGAACAAAACTTAGATCATAGAAATTTCCTAGCTTATTGCAGGTATGACAATCATAGATCAAGAGCTAAAAGTAGTAGGAACACCACACACAAGTAGATCGACTAGAAACCCTAGAAATCACCTCAACCACAATATGTCATGCAAGTAATGTAAATCAAGCACAAGTGACATAATGATTTATCCTGTGGTTCGGCTCGCTACTAAGGCTTTCCTACCTCCACGTTGTTGAGGTTAGCCACTAAGGCTTAGGACTTTCCAACCCTTTCTTGTTCTCAAGTCAAGAGACTTAACTCTTGAGATGAGGGGTGAGTTTACTAGCTTCAAGAGATGGTTACAAACCTCCCGGGGCTGCCACACAAGTTGGCAAGCTCCACGGGCGACGCTCTAGCCGGCTAGGAGCCAAGCTCCAAGAGTAACAAACACAACCGCCGGCCAAACGTGAACCAAGTGCTCTTTAGAGTTGGGGAATAAATGGAGCTGCTCTCTAATCGAGTTTTGGACCCTTTTCCCTCAAGGATTGATGAGAAAATCAATGAATTTGCTTGGGGGCTTGAGATCAACAATGGAGGGGGAGAGAGAGAGAGAGAGAGCTCCTACTCTGTTTTGGGTGTGCTGAAGTGAGGAAGAAGAAGAGGCAGAGTACCGTTGGAAAGGAAGGGAAAGGGTATAAATACCCCCCAGCCCCAACGGTCACTTAAGTCGCGGCAGTGCCGCACCACGAAAGACAACAAGGGTAAGAGTGAAGTGTAGACTGTCTTGGCTGTGAATCTAAGGATGCATGTGTATGTTTGAGCACTTGGTAGCACATATTAGCTTAAGCATTGTGTCCCCCTTTATAGTACGGCTTTTCCTATACTCAAATTCAAAATATAAAAGAATTTAAACCTCCTTTGAGTTTGAAGCCATCTACATTTGTAATTGGGGGCTCCTTCATTTCGTGTAGCATCCTTGAACATGAATTCCCTGCTTGTCATCTCGATAAATCTCATTAGTTCTCTAATTGTGTGGTCATTATCACCAAAACCCACAATTGGGGCTTGATTGCACTTTCAATCTCCCCCCTTTTTGGTGATTGGTCACAACCCAATTAGAGCTTACAAAAGATATGAAATAAATACTGAGATTTTCGAGCCATGGGTGTAGAGCCTCCCCTAAGTATGTGAATAGAGAATTGAATTCTCAAATTGGCATAAGAAGCCAAGATTCACATTTTAGTGAAAGTGATGTGATGGGGCTCCCCCTACATCCATGCTCCTGTGGGGTGCTGCATACTGTGTCAGGTATGTAAAACGTGATGCAAATGACAGTTTATGCATAACATGGTTTGCTGTTGTAGCTGGGTGCGGCACTACCGCACTAGAGTGCGGCACTGCCGCACTTGCTATAACAGCAAGATCAGATCAGACACCACACAACATGTGATACATATAAAGATATACATTCTAGCACAATTGTATCACAAGCGATAGCATAGATTAATATATGTCCATATCCCACACATATAAAAAAAGTACTTAAGTAGCATTATTACATAAATAGAGTTTCTAATGGACTCTCAAACTCTCACCTAACGAAGACTACTCTAAATGGATACGAACATGACTCTAGCTACAGCAACCTCCTCTCCATGGCGTCAAAAAAGTTGTTGACCCCTCTAATTTTCTCCCCCTTTGTCATAAAGCACCAAAAAGAGAAGAAAAGAAGAAAGACCAACACTCACTCCTCATCCTCTTAGAAGGTGTCCCAATCGACATCATCCCCACCAGCAGCTCCACTAGCACCTACAACATCCTCCTCTCCACCATCATCATCATCGTCGGAGGAGGAGGAAGAAGAAGACACCATCGCCCTCCCTTGGCGATGAGTGGTCGAAGTGTGGCACTCATGCCTAGTGCTCCTCCTCATGGACTGTAAGGTGGACCTCAAACTCATGTGAGGATCAAGCTCTGGCTGCTCCTACTCCTCCTCATCCTCATCCTATGAATATGTCTCAAAAAGACTACGGAGGTCATCAAACCTCGGCGGTGACTGAACTGGAGAAAGAGGTGGCAGCCCTGCACGCTCTCTAGCCTCCCGGTTGGCTTCATGGTTCTCCAACTGGTCCTAATATGCGGTCCTCGCTGCATAAGTGCATGTGGTGAAGATGGCCTTGATCCACTTCCCAAATTTCTCCATCTTCTTTTCCTTGCGAGGCCTAGAGCGGGACAACTCAGGCACATCCACAATTGATGGAGAGCGTCTCACTGCCCAACTAGCACCTGCCCCTCGGGTCTTCTCAATTTTGTAGATGGTGTGAAGACCATCTTTCTCAAATCTATAGCCAGAGACCCTCTCAATCATAAACATGAGATAGGGGGCATAGGGTATCCCCTTTCTCCCATCCTCCATGGCGTTCCTTAGCTTATGCCACATGAAGCGAGGGACATTAAACCTGTCACCTCCAGGAGCAAATCTAGAGAGCACATTCCTCACATATCCATTAAGATCAGAAGCTGCTCCATCCTTGGGATTGATATTGTGCCTAATCAAATTATTCAGAATGTAATAATAGATCTTCAGACCACTGACCTTCCCATCTGCACTTCTCCTATCAATCCACATATATGCAATGTCGTGGATCTCAGCTCTAGCCTCATCATGAATGTAAGTGAAGCCCCGCTCCTCTCCAAAACCAAGGATCCAGCTAAAA